AGCAACAGGAGAGGCAGGAGGAGGAGCAGATACCGGTTCTGCTGCAGCGGGGAATCGAGCCGGTGTCACTTTGCCACATTTTTGTACTTGAAGAAGATAGGTGGTGACAGTGCTCATACCAGGCCAGCAGAGTTCAAGTGAAGTAGTTCCAGCACGCACAAGAGCTACCCTGCCTGCTTGCGGAGGCACACCCACTTCCAGATACCACAAGTCCTTGCAGCAAATTTGATTGTTCCAAGTTTTTCTATATCCATCCCTACCAGACCATATGTAGAGCCTTGTCTGTATGGCCACAGCACTGTGCCCGGCTCGTGCCCGAGGAACACATTCCTCAAACTTATCCAGGGCAATATTGTCCCATGTCATAGTTTCAAGATTAAGGGAAGCGAGTGTATTTGTACATTTCCATTCCTTTTCATGGGTGGCAAGTTTTGATTCATCAGAGACGAGTGGCACCCAACCTCCATATACATACATATGATGTCCAATGACTGTAGCAGTATGAAGTGAACGGGGCAATGGTGCTGGACCACCTAACTCGGGCCGAGACCAAGACATGCTGTCAACATCAAGAACCCACAAATCTCCCAGTCGTGAACCACTCATTCCCCCATAGATTATTAATGAGGACTTTCCTGTATTCTTGTCAGTGTAGGCAACACCGCTGTGTGACTCTCGGGGTGGTGGTGATTGACAGTAAGTTAATGGTATATCCCAAACCGTCATCGACGAACTCGGATACAATTCAAGAGTATACAAATCATTTAAATACCTTGGAATATTATTTTTAGGATCATCACTTTCATTTGCCAATCCACCAAATAAGTAAACTTTACCATTCAATAAAGTAAAGCTATGACCGAGCCTGGGGCATGGCGGCAGTCCTTGTTTAGGAGGAAGGGGCTTGAGACGTTTCCATTCCCACCTGGAAGCTTGAAGTTCGTACAGGTCATTGGAATACTTGCCGTACTCAACCATACCGCCAAAAACCAGAAGACGGGTCCCATCTACGACGAAACCGTAGGCAGCACAGCCGGGGGGCACTTCTCCCTTGGTGACGGGAACGAACCATTGATTTGTTGAGGTGTTGAAGACATGAAGCTCATGAACAATCCCTTCATTTCCGCCGCCGAATACAATCATCAAATCTTTAATAGCAACCGCACGATGACCATGGCGGGGTCGTGGTTGGGGGCCGCTGGGATTGTACACTTTTTGCCACTTAAGTACAGCGTTTTCCTTCATTTTTACTACACATTTGTCACAGAAAGCTTAAAACCGTATGTATCGCTCAGGATGCGTATCTATTGCATAGACAACGAGAAACGTCGTAAATAAGCTTCGGAGAAAATATTCAGGTTAGTAGCAGTTCCATAACTAAATTAGCTGCAAGTTTCTCGCTCCCACTTATGGCAGACAGCATTAGGCAAAGCAAAATCACCTTATGCAGCTTATAGTTATAACAAAAATGGCGTTAGCAACAGCAGTGGCAACCTAATCGTACAAGAAAGAACGGCGTCGGACGTCAATCATTTGTCTATGGTATTTTTGTTTTTTAAAAACAGTTTCAGCCAGACTATGAAAGAGTAAATGCAGACTATAACAGCATTTTCAATAGAGTTCCCCAACTAGTAGTTAAAATAACTTAGTATGCTTGTGCAACTTAAAATAAAAAAGCTTACTCGCCGTATTATAAAAATTAAATTGAAAATGTTAAAAAGTAAACGGAAATAGATAGCTATTTTTTTCCTCTAAACAAAGAATCCAAAAATTTTGTAGCAAATGTTTTTGTTAATTCTTGATCAATAACTTCCTTTTTTTTAATTCTATTCATCCAAAATTAACAAAAACTTTTAGATTGCAATAAGCAAAGACACACCTAGAAAAGACAAACTAGACAATACTCCGTGGCGCTTCTCTATGGAAATAAAAACAGTGTTGTTTTTATATTGGCAACAATGACGAAAAAGGCGGTATTTCTTGTGACATGGCGGTAAAATACTTGTATAATCTTACTAAATATACGGTGTTGTATAATCTCACTAAAATTATAGATGCGAAAGTTTGTATTGATGGATGGATGTTTGTTAGAGTTTGCCGTTTAAACGGGTGAACAGACCTCGATGAAATTTGACAAAAATAGACAATAGTCTGAAAGAACGCACAGGCTACGTACTTTTGTTGTTAATTCCACGCGAAGGGAGAGCGAAGTAAGCAGGTGAAAGCTAGTAGTAAAATAATTATGTTTTGTGTTTATTATTGTTACTTCGTGATTTAATGAACATTTTAGCTCCATCAGCTCACCTGAAAGAAATTAGTAAGCCAAATTATTATTTGAGATTTTTTCATGGCAATTTAAGATGGTAGAATATTGATTTGCAACAGTGCCATCTATGAAATCTCTGATGCACTATAAATGACAAAGAGGATGCAATGACTTTGTAATGTTATACGCTAGATGTCGCTTAAAAAGATAATAAATGGCCTCTGCGACCTGGCTTTGTTGGCGCTGATTTTTAATTTTCTTGCGATAATATTTGCTATAATTTGATCTTAAGTAAAGTTATCTTAAAGACAGAAAATATGTGACAAAGGTTGACAATGACAAACAAAACAAATATTAACAAAACTATAAACATGCTGTCTAAACAACGTTATAAAGAGTGAATGTTAAACCGAGAGAGGTAAGATGTAAATTTTTTTTATTCTTTGATGCACAGGCCAGTTATTTACTAATATACCTAATACTTATCATTAATCTTGTCTCCTGTTTATATCGTGTGTACTAACAGAACTTTTTTGGCAATATAAACAAATAAATTATCGTTTTGGAGACATGTACGTAGTACAGATAATACACATCACATATTCATCCATTCATCTAAACTTTCACAGCTATAATATTAGTATAAATGTTTTAATTAATTATACTATCATCATACTAATATTATTAATTGCGAACGTTTAGATAGATGGATGGATGTTTGTTAGAGTTTGTAGCCAAACCGGCTCAACGGATCTCGATGAAATTTGGTATTGATGTAGAGGATAGTCTGGAAGTACACATAGGCTACTTGTTTTGTTTTTTTTTTTTTTTTTTTTTCAATTGGACGGAGTCGTTGGCGACAACTAGTTACTAAATAAATACACATTTTGTTTAATTTTAATCATCGTATAATTTTTTTGTTGCGTGTTTTTTTTACTTATTTCTATCTTTATTAGTATAAAAATACCTTATATTGTACACGTGCGATGTAACATATCGCAATAGCTGCAGGTACGTCCGCAGGTTCCCACTCGCTCGCGCTCTCACTTGAGCAAAAACCATATCGAGATCCTCTTATTCGTTTGAATAACTAACATCAATACATTATTTGAACTGACTTTTCGCCGGGCGGCGCGGCGCGGCTCGGCGCCGGTGGGAAGTTAGCTTTAGTTTTACCTATATTCAAATTTGCTTTGTCTTATGTTAGCGCAGTTTACTTATGCAGAAGATATTAATTTGAGTTGAAATGAATGAAATAGTTTCTGTGCTCGTTGTTTGGTCGGGTGCGGGCGCGTTGGTAGCGCGGGCGCTACCGGAGCAGTCCACAGCAAAGAATGTCGAGCAGGC